CGCTCCCTCCCTCTCTCCCTCCCTTTCTCTGTTTGTGTTCTAATTACAATTCATAAATAGGTAAGGAGGTTCACGGAGATATATAAAACAGAAAAAATCTCACTTAATCTCCACTTAATCCATCAGATTAAATTCAAAATTTTATATAAAAAAATTTCAAAGGCTTCCTTAATATGATACACTGAAAGCATAAGGTGGGTTCCCCCCCCCCCATAAAATAGCATCTTGGGTGTGTGAATCAAAAGATGCTAACAAATGTTTAGGATAAAATATGGGCCAGGTGGCTTAGAGCCTCATAGTGTGCTGTGATTATCAGAATAAATTTAATTCAAGTTAATTAAGGACATATTTAGTACTTTGCCCATGTAGCTGAAAAATTCCAGTGGAGATGTAAGGAAAAGACACCACTTAATTTGTATGAGATGTTGCATTTTTCTTCCTTGATTAATAATTTATATCCAGAATATGCTTAGTTCAGTCAGAAAAATAGTCAATATAAAATAATTGCATTTTCAGCAGTGTGATAAATTTAAATTATTATTAAATTGTATATGTCTCTGCAGACCCCTAATGATGAAAAATTCAATAGGCCCAATGTTTTAATTGCTGGATTTGTTTCTTTGAAAAAATCATTTCATTCTTGTTCTAAATAGATTTTGTGTATGTTTCTGAATAAGAATTTTTCTTCTCCTTATTATACATGATGCTATAGATTATATTTTATCAACCCTGTAATGGGATCAAGTTGGTTGATAATTGGTGGGTTGGTTTAGAATTTAGTTTCATAGGATGTAGCAGAACTAGGGTTTATGCATTGTAATATACAATGAAAAATAGAGATTAATAAATTGAAGTTTTTTAACAGTAGTGAAATGAATGTTAAGTGTGAGTTTGACTGAACCCTTTGACTGGTGTCTTCCTCAATTTCAGGTCTTTTAGCACAATCCAGGAGTTTGAGGGTTCTGTGCAGTATAATAGCTGTTCCTCCCACTGCACTCCTCTGGACAAAAACAGCGATGTTGTTCCTGGAATCCGTTGGCACCACTCTCACAATTTAGGAATCACAAGTCTGAGTTCTCTTACCAACTGGAACCAGTTTTTCTTTTGTTTTCATGTTTTTGCTAATTCTGTTTCAGGATCTGATATTTTCCCAAGCTTGTCATTCTCCTTTTTCCTGATGTTGTTGTTACTTAGCATAGGTACATCTATCACCACCACTGTCTTCCAGTCCTTGTCTACTATCATGATGTCTGATTGATTGGCCAGTAGCTGTTTGTATGTCTGGATCTGAAAGTCCTAGTTATTTTCCATAAACTTTCGTTAGTTCCACCTGATTAGTCTTATTAAACTTTCCTCTATTTATTACCATGCAGCCACAATTCTCCAGTCATCCAGTCATAACAATTTAGTGTCCTGAATGTAACTCTGTGTCAGGTGCATCAATAAGTCTATGTCTCATTCACCACCCAGATGTATAGCAGCTTTTGTTTCTTTGTTGTACTTGCAGCTCCAAAATCAGGAAATTTGGCCTTCACCTCTGTGCTCTGTTTAGGCAATTCCACATTCTTAGTCATGCAGAAGTTAATATTCTACAGCTCCAAAGTTCTGACCTTCCCTTTCAAAAACCATAGTCAGACTGCAGGCCTAGAAAGAGACATTTAGTTCACTGGTTTTGTGGATGCAACCTAAAATTTCTGTACATAAGAAATTTCCCTGCTGAAATTGCAGCTATCTCTTGCAAAAGACCATGTCTTTATAACTTCCAACNCTGTTCCACTGATTAATTGTTCTAACTGTCAGGAAATTTCTCCTCAGTTCCGAGTTGCTTCTCTCCTTGATTAGTTTACACCCATTGCTTCTTGTTCTACCCTCAGGTGCCTTGAAAAATAGTTTGACTCCCTCTTCTTTGTGGCAGTCCCTTTGTGGCAACTTAAAAAATCTTAACAGATTATTGTGGCTTTATTTTTCAATGTGAACATGGGGCATTTAATAGTTGGTATATAAATCATACTAAGAATCTTGGTAAGTAATCAAATTACTTTGGTGCCCCACTTTGAACACTATATAAGGCCAATTAAGATATATTCTGGAAAAATAGCCTTTGGGCACAAATATTTTTTGCTAATGAAATGCATCTGAGGATGAGTCTTAATGCCTAGCAAATAATTACAAATGCCTTTAATTTTGTGCTTATCATACATAATGAGGAACTATATATACTTATATTCCAATATACAGAGTATCCTTCCTACTTCTGGACCTCTCAGATATGTTGAAGCTGAAACTTGCTATTTAACTTATTTGGCAAGCACATCCAGGATCTAAATGAATGTTCATATAACAAAAATTGGTTACAGCTGTCAATATCTGTATGTAACTTGAAGACAACTTGTGTAAAATTGATATATATCACTTTCCTTTCAGTTACCTTTCTGCAAATGTTCTTTTAACAAAATTTAATTAATAGCTAGTCTCTTCTAAAGTACCTCTGCAAAATCAGATGCTAGAAAACAGGCACATTTTAAAAAATTAGTATTATCTCTAACATTAGCATTATATCAGCATAAACCCAATTTAAATCACTCCCTGCTGTGCTCCGGAATTAAACAAATCCCTTTAGGCATCTCCAGCTGTTTTTAAATGACATCACCTCAGTCCTTCTGCAATTCCCTTCCATGACACTTTCACAAGGTTCACATTGCCAAAACAGCCTTATGGATTTTTCAGTGTTCTTCTTTTGGGACCATGATGGGCCTTACTACTGCTTTTAATCATCTATGTTCTTTATATTCCTTAGCAAAATATCACTCTTGGGATTTCAGCTGCACTTTAGTGATATTGTTATGATACTCCCACTGCCTCTCATGAATATGCCTCTTGTAACATAATGGAAATAACAACTGCAACAGCAATAAGAAAAACTACAGCAACAGTATGGATTTCTTTCCAGAATATTTCTATTGCTATAAAACATCCTCTCCCCAATTTATTTTTGTTGTTGTCTTCAGTTTGAGTAAAAGGTCCTTTACAAAAATTGGATCTGTCTAATTTTAATTACAATCACCTTTTTATTGTTCTTGGATGCTCAAAGTTTATCTATCTATCTATCTATCTATCTATCTATCTATCTATCTATCTATCTATCTATCTATCTATCTATCTATCATCTACCTACCTACCTACCTANTGAAAATATTTACAGACTCCTCGCATCCTGGACATAAATTGTATCAACTCCTACCCTCAAAACGATGCTGCACAGCACTGCATACCAAGACACGTAGAAACAAGAACAGTTTCCCCCCGAATGCCATCACTCTGTTAAACAAATAATTTCCTCAGCACTGTCAAACTATTCACTACGGCTGCATTACTATTACTATTAGTCTTCTCATCATTCTACCACCCATTTCCTCCCACTTATGACTGCATGACTATAACTCTGTTGCTCGTATCCTTACGATTGATATTGTTTCCTGATTGCTTATTTGTACCCTATCACTATCATTAAGTGTTGTGCCTTATGATTCTTGACAAATGTGTGTCCAATCACATTTGGCCAATAAAGAATTCTATTCTATTCTAATGTACTGAATATACTGTACTATATACTGCGTTGTATATAATATACTCTACTGTATGTACAACAGCTGACAACACATACAAACACTTTCGTATTTCTTATTTTGCTGTGAAATATAGTTCTTCCTATTGTCTCAAATACTGTAAAAAGTCAGTCTGGTATAACGGTGAAGGCACCAGTCTAGAAAGCAGGAGACTCTGAATTCTTGTCCTCCCTTAAGTACAAAGCCAACTGGGTGATTTGGGCCAGTCATTCTCTCTCAGTCCTAGCAAGCAGGCATTGGCAAACCAAAATATTTTGCCAAGAAAACTGCAGGAGCTTGTCCAGGGAGTTGCAAAGTCAATACTGACCTGAAGGCACCAAAACAAAACAAAAGCCAAAACCATGACATTTAAAAATAATGTACAACATAACACATGGAAACCTGCTTCTGAACTGTCTCTAAAAAGAACTAAAAAGACTAGTTTACAGGGATAAACTTAAGAGACAGCTATCAAATCCTAGGCAACATTTCCACGGGATACATCCCCCCTTTAATAAGGAACAATATTTGAGTCACCTGCATACGGGCTACTGTTGCCCAGACGTTTTGCGGATGCTGCGCTTAACTCACCTGCAAGATGAAGAGGCGGCTGCTGCCTCCGAAACGCAAGACATGACCCACCCGGACGCGACAGTAGGTGCGGGGAGGGACCCTCGCTTTGTTGAGGAAGGTGCCGTGGGCGCTGTCCAGATCGTAGATATACAGGCCGGGTTCGGGACTCTCCGACGCCAGGGGTTCTTTTTCCCCTTCCGCGGAGCTCCGTGGCGGCCGGCACTGAAGCACGGCGTGATGCCGCGACACGCACGGATGAACCAAGGAGAGGTCGCAGCCCGGCGCGCGGCCTACCAGGAGCCGGCTCCGACCGGCTAGGCTAACGCGGTCAAGCACCGTGCCGCCTTTTACCGTCTCCAGGCTGTAGCCGGAGGAATCCTCTTCGGAGGGGCAACCTCCCCACGGCGGCTCCTGATAGTCGGGAAGGACAGGGGGACAAGGGCCCACCTCAGGGCCGTGGGGGCGCTTAGGAGCCTCCCCCTCAGCTGCCTTTCCTCGGGCGAGGGAAAGAGGCAACGGCGGGGGCAAATTCGGCTTCTTAAAATCCTCCGACGGAATACTCTCTTCTGTGGGAGCCGCCATCTTAGCAGGTCTGCTTCTCTAACGGGTCCCCCCAGGAAACTGCTTCCCCGGTGCTTCAGTTCCGGGAAAAGCGGCCCTTCTTTGAAGGGGTGGTGCCCCTTTCAGGCTGCCGCGGAGGGAAAGCGGGCGAGCGGAAAGAAAAAGGGATGCGGCCGTGATTTTCAGGGCAAACCTCTGGACGGTATTTGGTATCCCCTCCCCCCCAAAAAAGTATCATCAAGCTAGGCCTTGGGGGGGGGGGATTCCTGAGGCTGGGGACTTCCTGAATCCGGTTTGGTCGAGCCTTGCGGGTACTGAAAGTCTTTGGGACGGTAAGGCCGCGCGAGGACACATTGTTGCTACGATTAAGTTGGGATGCCGGGGAGATGCGTTGAAATCTCAAACCCATAGAATCGCACTCAATGGGTATACAACCCTCCCTGTGGTGACTCAACAAAGGAAAGGGGGAGAATTTGGATATGAGGCGGCTGTGCGAGCTTCTTTTTTTCGGGATGAAATCCTGTGCACCAACTTTTCTCCAATCTGATGCGCCCATCGGGTATGTGCTGATATTGACATTTACAGAAACCATGGCTGCTAAAGGCACCAGGTTGTAGGCAAAACTAGTTCTGCATTATAAATTTGACCGCACGTATTCAATCCTATGGTGTTCAGTGGCCTTTACCTCCAGAGGAGTGTGGATAGGATTTTAGTCAAATCCCCGTCAGTCCTAAAATGACCCCAAGATCAACTTGATCTAAGATCAGACCAAGACATTCATATTGAGACTAAGACTACTTTTATTAAGTTTGACTATAGTAACAGAAACTTCTGGTTTTCCTTTTGATTTACCATCTCTCTTAGATTATGCCAATTAAAACGTCTGTGTTATTTCTGCATTCCTCCTTCCTTGTTTGGACCTATACAGTGTTTTACTTCTCATTGCTTTGGTAATGGATCTTAGGCAACTTTAAGAGCTATAGCTGTCTGGAATAGAAATGCTTTCATCTACAATATGTGGAGAGTTAATCAAGGCTAAAAACAATCATATGCTAGTTAGAACCCAGTCATAAATGTGAACAAGAAGAACAAAATATGTCCACTGTTGATAAGTTGTTTTGTCTATTTGCAGGCCATGGAACCTATATGATACTGCTCATCTCACTTTTAGAGTGACTCTGGATGGTGTACAGTTAAAAGGATAAAAACATGAAATATAAAAACATTTAAGGAGTATAGATCTCATGTAATAAAAATAAGCATAATAACTATTTGACTATATATCATAAGCACCAATACTTTACTAGTTAGAAATAGATTTATATTACAGATAGTTCTCGACTTAACAACCATTCATTTAGCAATTGTTCAACGTTACAATGACACTGAAAAAAAAAAGATTTACCAAGCCTTACTTGTCCGTCTTCATAGCATTCTTTGGATCATGTGATCAATTTTTGGATGCTTGGCAATCGACATGTATTTATGATAATTGCAGCATCCTGGAGTCATGTGATGACCATTTGTGATCTTCCCAGCCAGCTTTCATCACTTAATGACTGCAGTGATTCCTTAACAACCATGGCAAAAAAGATTATAAAATTGGTCACAACTTACTTTATTAACCACAATGCTTAGCAACAGAAAGACTGGTCCCAATTGTGGTTGTAATTCGAGGATTACCTGCTCTTGCTCTTCTAATATAAATGACAATGTGAATAAGTTCAAAATAAACATGAAATATTTTGTTGTGGGTCTGTATTAAAAGGTCAAGTTTATTTCCAATTTAGCTGGTGGCTTCATGGAGATATCCCTGCAATTTTCTTGACAGTAGTACAGAAATAGTATGTTATAACAGGGTCTTCTACTACTACCTGAGCAATTGATATTTGTATAAAGCAGCATTTGCTTGATTGGCACCAAAAAAAGTCCTATCCCTATACCGACATTTAAAAAATCCTTATACAGATCTTTACTTCATGAATAAGCCTAATCTAGAAAGCTAGAGATGTTTTCTTCATTCTGAAGCTTATAATTCATTCCTCAGAATTGTATCCTGTTCAATTAATAATAGCACTGTAGGACAAACAAAGGCTTCTGATTGGCTTTTTGAAATTCCTCTAGCATTTTTAGGTTATAAATTATAAATCCTAAAGGGAGCCAGTTTCATCTAGTAGTTAAGGCACCAAGCTAGAAATCATGTGTTCCAGTCCTACCTTTGGTATGAAAGCTAGCTGGGTGACATTGAGCCAATCATTCACTCTCAGCCCAATCCACTTCATAAGGTTATTACTGTGAAGAAAATAGGAGGACGAAGGTCTGTTGGGTATGTTTGCCACCTTATTTGTAGAACTAATAAAGATAGGATACAAATAAATAAAAAATAAATGATTTGCATAAAAAAGGGAAAGTAAGGATTGTTAGGTGCAGATTCACTTTCTTTCACTGTTATTCCTTCATCTTACAAAAGTTAAAGATGATTTTGCAGCAAGAAGCTCCATGAACAGAGACTACAAGCTATTGAAAGTTACATAATAATTATGGAAAAAACAGAGACTGATTCATGTGCTTTTTAAACATCTGATAGATGTTAATTTTGACCTTATTTGCTTTGGTTAATGTTGAGAGTTAACTTTCTCCTCAAATCTAATCTACAGGACTTAGTTCTCTTAGAAATATTTTCTGCTTCCATGTCTTAATAAAGAACATGCAAAGTATGCTGTTTGGGAACAATCTTTCCTGTGTTCATAGAATATTTTGTATTTAATATTAGTTAAAATTCATAATAAGGTGGTTCTTTTGCTTTCAGAAGGGCAGACATCACTATATTTGTGTCAGATTTCATGCTTTTAAAACAAGATGTACAATTTTAGACCTACCAAGGCTATTAATTGGGGAAAATACAATCTAATTTATAAAGCCCCCCCCCCCACACACTTTATTGTCATTGTACAAAATAAATACAACAAAATTGGAAACATGAAGATTAGCATAATAAAAATAAAGCACATTTCAAATTAAACATTTAACAATGGAATAAATAAATAATTTATGTCTTGGGATCTAAAATTAGTAACATTGTTCAGTAGTTCACTTACTTGTGAATCTTTGGGACTAGGATATCAGTTTGCTTAGATTGTCTCTTGGTAGCTACTTCTTTACATTCTTATAAGTTCTTGCTTTTATAATTAGTCATAGTATACCTGGTTTTCTGTCAGTCTTTTTTAGGCTACATTTGATTTTTTTTCAATCATCAGGGTTTTCACCATTGATTCCTGCCTTCATATTATTTATGCAAAATATTTCAGATTTATCTTATAGTTTGCACTATGAAGAATGAGATTAAAAACAACTTTATATTTAATTTTTTTAATTTTCTTAGAGAAGGTAAGAAAATACCCACCTCCTTCAAAGTAATGACATGGGGAAAACTATTTTCCTATTATCTAAATGTGGCAATTATTCCTAATAGCACCATCTTCATTCCATTTAAGATTTCACAATGCCTTTTCCTCTGATCTTTCTACTCCCTGCTGTTATGTTTATGGATACATTTGCAATCTTGGAGTCTCTTCATCCATTTTCTAAGAATAGAAGATATTCTATGAATGCCAAAGGGACACATTTCTGTTAGAATATTTGTTAAAAAGTGTGGTAACTTTGAAGATTAGTTGTTGCTTGGAAGGCATTTTTTGCCTAGTGAATATCACTCTTTTGTAATATCTGAATAAAGCTTCTCTCTCTTTACTTTTCTGGTAAATTAGTTTTCCTCCTTGCAATACAGTTGCCCTTTAACTTTGCCCAGTTTCCATCTGTTTCATTTCTTCTTTGTTGCTGTTTTTGCTGGAAGGAGGGAGATTCTCATTCTCTCTCTCCTCTCTCCTCTCTCTCTCTCTCTCTCTCTCCCCTCCCTC